GGTTGAGTACAAATCCAGCTAGGCTGAAAATTTCCATTAATATTTAGTAAATAGAAAAACAAGAAGAACAGTGTATATTAAAGGATTTTCCCATATAGATTTCAAACGGAAATGAAGGAATTTTAGAAGTGAAAACTCGATGGAAAACTGAAATATATGTAGTAGTGATGTTCGGGTATCCCGACTCCCGACACCCGACTCGGGAAATTTCCCGAGTTTTTGGCCTCCCGATCCCGACTCCCGATAGCAATTCCCGACTAAGTCGGGAAATTTTTACACCCCTAAGAATGGCTTTTTCTGATAAAATTTTATTTTTGAAGGGAAAAAATAAAGAGAAAAAATAAAAAAAGGGAAAATAAAATATTTAATTTTTTTCCCTAACAACTATTGTTGAGAGGTGGTCGAGTGGTTAAGTTGAGTGCCTAAGTTACTTTGATTGGTCTAGGTTCGAATCCGGGTTTGGAGTATTTTATTTAAATAATTTTTCCATCCAAAAATAAATGTTTTTTAACATTTATTTTGATATTAAAATTTTACAATTATTTTTTTCTATATTATAAACGACAAAAAACTGTAGAAAAATTAATTTAGTCATGAATTTTCAAAAATTTTCGCCTGCGGCGCAGAAAATCGAAGAAATCATTACAAATTTTTCTAAATTTTGCTTGCAGCGCAGAAAATAAAGAATATCAGAGCTCTTAGCCTTGCAAAATTCTCAAAATTTTCGCCTGCGGCACTGAAAAATGAAGAAATATGCCTTCTTGGCCATCCAAAATTCTCAAAATTTTTGCCTGCGGCGCTGAGGGAAAAAAAATTTGTCTTCTTGGTCTTCCAAATTTAAAAAATTTTCGCCTGCGGCGCAGAAAAAGGATGAATCTAGCTCCTTGTCTTTCCAATTCTCAAAATTTTCGCCCCCGGCGTTGAAAATGGAAGAAATTTTACAGCTTGGCCTTCAAAAATTCTCAAAAATTTCGCCTGCGGCGCTAATAAGGAAGATGTCTGGCCTCTTGACCTTCCAAAATTCTCATAATTTTCCCTTGCAATGCAAAAAACCGGAATTTTTGGCGCCGAAGGCGCCAAAAATTTTTTTATTGTAAATTCCCGACTCCCGATCCCGACTCCCGAAGTCATTTCCCGACCCGACTCCCGTTTCCCGATTCCCGAGTTTTTTCTTCTCCCGAACATCACTAATATGTAGGTATTTAGAATTAGTCTTTGTGCTTTCCTACTAATATCGTAATATGAATGTAAAAAATATATTAAGATTAGTTAGATAATATTGAATTTCTATAATTTATTAGCTGTTTTTCAGATAAAAGGTTATGAAACTTGAATTCACCTAGCAGAATTTAAGACGCTTAGGCGGGGGTTAAACGATCTAAAAAGGAAAAAGAGAAAGCATTAGTCGATGCCCCGGTAGCTCATAGGTAGAGCTCCTGCATATAGTGAGCGAAAACGCCTAGCAACAACTGTCAGGTGGTCTCAGGCTCGAATCCTGCCCAATGGCTAAACTTTTGCAAACTCTTTCTTGAATAATAAGAATCTTTCTAAAATAACAGAAATCAAAAATAAGTAAGTGTATATTTACAATCCAGAGTTTTGAATTTTTAGTTTAGAACAAATAAATGATAAATGATTTAATAACTATAATAACTATAATTATTTAGCATAAAAATATTTCTACCACGCTTTTATTCTGTTAAATATAACTTACCGCACACTGGTTCATTTCCACGAAAACTATTAGTAAAAGTAAAAGAATTATGAAATATCGCATATTTTAGAATTAAATATTTTAAATAATTATTTGATTTTGTGAATGATAATTGTTGGTATATTATCATTTTGTTTATATATTCAGGAAAATATAAAAAAATTTAGGATGTAAATTTTTTAAAGAAAAATAACATCGTTAAAAATTAGTAAGATTACTTTAACTTAAATATTTTTATATAAAAATAAATAAAAAATTGAGGAAGTTATTTGCCACGTTTAAAAGTTTTTTGCTTATTTTTATTTTTCTTTATTGGAAATAATATAATATTTGTCAAAATAAATTACACGTTAAATTAAGATGGCCAATTTTTATTTTTTTATTCAAAACAAATATTCTAACAGTAAGCATCAAAAATTAAACATTTACAAGCATTATTTATTATAAAGTTTAGTATATATTTTTGATAGCCTCGTGCCTTTTCGTAATTGAGAAATAAGCAAAAATTTAAAATTTTATGATTTTTTATGGCAAAGGCATTTATTTCCGCATTTTTAGGTCGTATGTTATAATTTTTGAATTTTGGAGGGCTTTTAAATCATAAATCCCTTATATCATCCATTTTCTGCGCGCAGTGTGAAAAACTCTGGACATTTTTTAGTCCAAGGAGCAATATTTCTTCCAAGGATTGACCGATTTAACAGAAAATATGTCTTTTTTCAACCCGAAACCCGACCAGTGAAATTTTTCTTAACTTGAACAAAACCTGACTTCTACCATAGAACTACACACTTTTAATCTCTTTATATCCTTCTTAATCTCAAATCACTTTTATGCGCCGCAGGAAAAATTTTTGAGAATTATAGAAGGCCAAGGGGAAAAAATTTATTAATGGATTACTTTTATTATTTTTTTAAAATTAAATTTACAATTTTAAAATCAATGTTAAAAACATTTATGTTTGGAAGAAAAAATTTTTAAACATCATTTCCGAACTTTGGTTTCGAACCACCCTCATCAGAATATCAAAATGAGTAAAGTCAAACATCCTAACCACTCAACAAAAGAACAATAGAGAGATTGCCTTTAAATATTACTTATCCTTTTCTTTCAGAAATTTTATGTCAAAATTACAGAAAAAATATTGGAGCAAAGCTATTAACTTTTTGAAAGTTAACTGGTCTTTTTATTTAGCTTTATAAAAAATTTTAAACAGAAAAAGTTGTAGAAAATACTCTTTAAAATGAGATACTAAATATCAATATCCTTTATCGGTAAAAATTTACTAAAAATTAAAAGATAATAAAGCATTTCTTAAGATTACAGTTTGATTTTAAATATCATACATATGTGTTCCAGGGATGTCACGGGTTACCCGAAACCCGATACCCGAAACCCGAAACCCGGCCTTTTTTTCGACCCGATACCCGAAACCCGATCCGAGAAATTTTCTAAAACCCGACCCGAAACCCGACCCGAGAATTTTTATTTTTCAAAACCCGACCCGAAACCCGACCCGAGTTTTCTCAAAATTTTCGCCCGCGTCGCAGAAAAAGGGAAGATTTTTAGCTTAATGATCTTCCAAAATTCTGAAAATTTTCGCCTGCGGCGCTGAAAAAGGAAGAAATCTGGCTTCGGACCTTCAAGAATTCTTAAAATTTTCGCCTGCGGCGCTGAGAAGGGAAGATTTTTGGCTTTTTGGCCTTCCAAAATTCTCAAAATTTTGGCTTTTTTCGACCCGAAACCCGAAACCCGATCCGAAGAAAATTTTGAAAACCCGATCCGAAACCCGACCCGACTTTTTGCTCAACCCGAAACCCGAAAACCGATCCGAGAAAAATTTTGGAAACCCGACCCGAAACCCGACCCGACATTTTTCTCAACCCGTGACATCCCTGATGTGTTCCATAAATTCTTTAAAAATCCCAATAACAATTTCAATGGATCTAATAGAAAAGGAAAAAAATAAAGTTAATAAATATCGGCTCTCAACTCCCAAAAATAAACTCGAAAGGGGGTACAGTACAAAGATATCCTCAATGACGTCCTTTCGAAAGCCTCTACATAAATAATCTTTCACATAATTATACAGCAGTCGCAACATCCATCTTCCGTTTTTCCATTTTCCTCATGAATGTTGGGTTGGGGGATGGGCGATGTAGGGGGGGGGGCAATAAAATAAAAAAAGAATAAAGGATTTAGGAGAATAAGAGAGAAAGAAATTAAACGTTAAATTTTAACTTCAAAATTTCAAAATCCCAAAAATATTGTCAACTGAAATTAATTTCTTGTGGATTTCTAAGGCTCAAGCGGTAAATGTCCACTGTCCACCTCGCAATCCATATTTCCGCAAAAGACATATTTTTTTAATATTTCAAACAGAAAAAAACTTTAAAATTTTTAATTTAGTCATAAATTCGATTTAGCTAAAAATTAGATTAAACAAATAATAGCTCATTCGAAAGAGCTTGTCGAGCTGATGCGAATGACATCAAAATCAACATAATTAAACAAGATTTGATACAGTTATGACATAAAGTAATCCTATTGTAGTCGTGAGACGCTTTTGCAAAGCCTTTCTTTGCGCAGGCTTTTTGTCTGTATCTCGGCCCAAAGTTAAGACCTGGGGTTGATTTTGGTGTCATCCGACACAGCTCGACGAGTTCTATATCCTAAGACTGACTGACCATTTTTAATAATTTTAGGAAGGAAAAATGAGTGGGGTACGAACCGAACAATTACCGTTCTGGCTTCATGACCATCTAAACTTCAAAAAAAATTTGCACCGGCTCAAACAATTGAATTTTTTCTACTAAGACTTTCCTAAATTATCAAAATTTTTGCCTGCGGCGCAATAAAGTGATTTGAAAAAAATATTCAAAATTTTTTGAAATTTTTTTATAAATTACGAATTACGGCATTTTTTTAGTTACGAATTACGATTCCGAAATTTTTTAAAAAATTACGAATTACGATTACGAAAAAAAATTTTTAATTACGACGCAACTCTGTTACGACGCAACTCAGAATTTTTTGAGAGACCAATTCTTCAAAATTTTGACTAAACGAAATTAATTATAAACTCAAATTTTGTTGAATTTTTAGCTCCGTATCATTATAACTATAAAATCTTTGTTAACTTAAAATTAATAATTTTGACCTTTTCCTTTTTAACGATTTTTTATTTCCTTTCTTTCGTATCCTTCCAAATGCATTTGCTAAAAAAATCGAACAAACAAAAATTTACAAATTTGTTTGTAGATTGTACATATTTGCCTTTAAAAAATGAGAAATTTGCCTATTGAAATAAAACTTAAAATTCTTAAATATTTTGATTTTGATGATTTATTTTCACTTAAACAAACAAATAGACATTTCCGAAATTTAATTGTTAAATACGAGGATGATTTGGCACGTAAAAAACATAGAAGTCTTTCAATAGTAATTTAAGTTAGTTTTTTTGTTTTATAAACAATTCAGATTGAATGTCAAGAATATATGCCAAATTCTGTAATAATTGACCTTCCATTAACCAACCAATTTTTGGATAAGGCGAAAAGGTTCGCAGATTACGAGTGCGATGGTTTGACGTACAAAAAGGTTTATTTTGTAGTGATGGGAGATAAATGAATTGTTTAAAACAAAAAAAATCTTTGAAAAATGTAAATCGTAAAAGGTTCAAAAATATCGAAATCGAAAATATTTTTCAAAATTTCGAACTCGAAAATCGAAAGGAAAACCCTCAAAAATCGAAATTGATGTGCATATGCACCGTTATGCACAAAATGGCTTAAATATGCATATATAAGCATTAAGGGATCCTAAAGCTCGGATCAATGTAAAAATACCATTTTTTAGCCTTTTTCATTAACATATTCGTATACAAAACAATTTCACAGCCCTATTGATTAAATAGGGTCACGCCCAAACCGGCGCTCGGCCATAACGGCAAAAAGCCATAACTTGTTCAAGATTCGAGATTTCCTTTACTAAATTTAGTATTAAACGATTGATACCAAAATTGATAAGGCCCAGACATTTTAAACCAAGTTATGGCTTTGCGCCGTTATGGCCGCACGCCGTCTTTTTGTTATATTAATTTTATTTTTTTTCAGTGGAAATCAGCAATTGCTAGACAAATTCCACTTTATTTAATTATTAACGAAAAATTTTCTCCACTAAATAAAAAAATAGCCTTATCAATAGGTTAATTAAAGTTTTTTTAATTTTAAATTTTTTAAAAATTTATTAGATACATTTGAGGAGCCTTTTAATTTACACCTTCCTTTATTTTCAAAAAGCATTGAATATTTAAAAATAATTCGTTACTAAAAAAGATTGTCCGTTGTGTTTTTAATTTGATTAATTTTACAAATTGTGTTTTTAATCCAGAAATTATTGAATTACTTTTTGATAGAGAAGAAATCCAAAAATTTAATTTTTTTGGGGAAACAATTAAAATATTCTATCAAAATACAAATTTATTTAAATTTACTTTTGAATATTTGGAAATTAATAAGAATATTTATTTAATTTGTAATGGATACGACAATATGAGGGAATTCAATATTTTGTTAAATATTTTGTTGAATGAAGGAAATAAAATATCTCAAGTTTATATAAATCGTCCAAACAAATATTTTGTTGTTCTTTGCAATCAAATTTTACATGTAATTTTAATTATTAATTGAATTTGGGGTTATATGTATAGACATAGAAAAAGGATTGTAGCAAAGGCTGTTAATTTATCTATCGATCTTTGGACTTTCTGACCATTTTTTACATCTTACATAATAAAATCGACAGGGAAGGGACTTTAGGAGTATGCTGTTAGGGTCTACGAGTAAGGTTGTCGGATAGTAGAAAATCTTCGAATATCCGGATCCGATATCCGAACCTAAAATTTCCGGATATCCGGCCTTTTTCGGATCCGGATCCGACAAACTTACGTACGAGAATATAGTCATATAATTATAATATAAAATAAATATTATATAGTTAAAATATAGTTAATAAATCAAACGACATATCTCTATGTAGTTTCTCTATTTTTCCCTTAAAATATTTAAAAGAGATCGATAAAAAAGTTTTAGCATATGGAAACGTCAAAAGATTGTGCAAAAATGGTGCCTAATATTGTATTTAATTCAACAAAATGGCCTACTTTAAATATTAGAGGAATTGAAAAGAATAATAGTACTAATTTTAGAAGTACGAAAGAATACGAAATTACAAATATTCACAATTCTAATTTAAAATTTTCTCTACGCCTACACGTATTTAATTTTAGACGATCTAATCCTATTAGTGAAGTCATAATTAAACGGATAATAAATTAATTAATTTTTATTTACCGTATTTTTTCTAAAATAACCCCCGGGTTATTTTTTTCGATCGACCTCTAAAGGATGGTTATTTTAGAGAAAATACGGTATTTTTAAAATCTCAATTTTATAAAATATTAATCAGTAAAATTGAAAATAAAGGGGTTTCGTTACTCTTATTTATTCTTCTAGTACATATTCTAGTTTCTTCAAGTATTAACATCAGCTCCGCAGCCGAAAATTTTTTGAACTGAGTATTTCCATATGATAAAAATTCACGTTCCCCCAATTGATGAAGAAATACAATTATTTTTCGAAAAATGATAGAAAAATTACAGAACAGAAAATTTCCATTTTTGTAAAAAATCGGGTAGGATAGACCTGGCACATGATATCTCATTCAATTTAATCTAAATCCAATAATTATTCCAATATAATTTTTGTAAGAATTTTTTGTATGATAGCTGCACCATTCTTAACGGTGTTATTTATTTCTAAAAATTAATTTAAAAAATTAAATAAACCATTTTACTAGCCTTCCATCCGAATACTACCGCTAGACATTACCCACCATGACAAGCTATGAGGCCTAGCCATGTCGGCCGTCAAAGCATTGCCCATAGTGCTATTGCACTTGGTTTGGGAGACCAGGCACTGTGATTATTATCAAACGGAGTTGATATAATCGGTCCTATGAGTCGCTCACACCTAACGGGAAACGGCGGCCAGCTGGTTCATGATTGTTGACTTTTAATTTTACTTAAATAAACAGCCTATATTTTATTTCAAATATTGTATGGGAATGAAACTAAAATAAAGAGAGAATTAAAAAATGAAAAGATAAAATAGTGTGTATAAGCATGCTTATTACCTTCTCTCCCTTTTTTAAATAATTTTCTCTTGCATTTGAATTTTTTATTGAGTTTACGATTAAAATTTAAAAAATGGCTTAAACAAACAAATATTATCCTACTAAAGTATTTTTTATTAAAAAATACGTGAACCTTTTACTGACCCTCCATCCGAATACTACCGCCAGATACTACACCCACCGTGACAAGCCGGTGATCATCTAGCATCTCTTCGGTCACCAAAGCATTGCCAATAGCGCAGGTGCACTTGGTTTGGGAGGACCTTATGGAGGACACAACGGTCAAATGAAGCTTGCTTCTACGCATAATTGGCCACTCGTACCCAACGGGAAACGGCGGTCATTAGGTTCACGCTGCTACTGCCTTTTCTTCTGCTTATATACAAACCTAGTTTATTTTACTTTAAATTTTCTATGGGGAGTACAAAGCACGTAGAATTAAAGGAGAAAAGAGTGAATGAAGTTTTTATTAGAATAAATAATTAAATAAAAATATTGTTAATTAAAGAAGCGTACTTATGTAGGTAATTTGAAGTAATTATTAAAATTAGAGTTCTTACAACAGGGCTTCGATTCGTACTTATGTAGGTACTTTGGAAGTACAGTACATATCAATAGACTTTTGTTTAAAAATTTAATTTAGCATTGAAATTCACAAAATTTTTACCTCCGGCTGTAAATTGACTTTTGTTTTGATAAAATTAAAATATAAATTTTTACCAATATATTATAAATTCTTTAGATTTATTTTCGAAATAATAGTAAAATATATTAAAAAAATACGTTTCAGTGAAATTATTTTAATTTAAAAATAAACAAAAAATTATTTTAAAATTTTTTCAAAAACTTCTAAAATCTTACTTCCTTTATGCTAAATGTTTAATCAAATAAAGTTAAAAAATCTAAACTGATTAAATAAATTTTAACAAAATACAGAGATTTATTATTAACATGGAGGTTGTTAAAAAGAATTTTGGCAGCATTTTCAAATAAACAATGAGTATTTTATTACAATTTAAAAACTATCACTCCACGTTTCAAAGGAAGTAGTAAATAGGTAAATAAATATTAATGTTTATTTATCTACGGAAAGTCACAATTTAATTTGTTGTTGTTGTTTTAACTCATGATTCTTAACTCATGAATTTTTATTCAAAATAAATATTAGTAACAATCTTCATATGATATTAGGTATGATGTAAATTTGTTATGTAAATTTGTAATCTAGCAGCATTTAAAACGCTTAGACGGAAGTTAAACGATCATAAGGAAGAGCTTAATCGAACTGTACGGCACCTAGTTTATTTTTTAAATGATACACGTTTCTCACACTAGCTAGCCTACATGGAATGGATAGCTCCATTAGATATATTTTATCTTGTTAGTTTTTTAGAAATTTAGTTGCTTCATTTTGGATGATTAGCTTAAATCACTTCAGAGTATTTTTGGAGATAAATATTTTAAATTTGATTTATTATATTTCTATATACGGGCATCTGAAATTAGCTTCATAAAATTATTTCTTTTATTATATATAGATATAAATTAAGTTAGCTATCATGAAATGTTTATATTTATTTCTATTTTTTATAATATGTTCACTGCTTAAAATAAGCTTATTACAGGACTGTTGTGGTCCTGGTTGTGAAAATTGGTGCTGTCCTCCATGCCCGGGATTAATTGGTGATTTAGGTATGTTTTTATATATTTCTAATAATAAATAATTTATGTATATTAAAGATATATATGCCTAATGATGAAACGAAAATAATTATAAACAAAAATATAATTAATGAAGAATAATTTCATATAAGCAATAATAATTAAGATTTAATATTCGAATTATTTTAATTCTTAATTGCAATTAAAATTTAATTATAAAATTGATAAAGGAAATAAAATAAGTATTGTCTTTAATTCACTTAATAAATGATCCTCTATAAAGGCCTTTTATTAAATACACACCAAACACCCTCTATGTAAACGTTTGAACTTTGCATTTGTTGCTTTATCCCGTAATCGCTAAAGCGCTAAATATAAAGAAATGGATAAACAAAATATTAAAATTTTTATTTCGGCCATTTTTGACCCTAACTAAAAGAATACAAAGACTTTAAAATATAATCAAATAAAAATTGAAAAAATATTTTAATTTTTTAAACTTTCTCAATTACTTTCTCCAATTACTCTCTCTTTGGAAGTCATCTCCAAAACTTCAATTACCAATAACCTCAGAAATTTTCTGGAGAAAAATATTTTTCTTTAACCCATTTTCTTCCAAATCAAGTAAAATTTTTGATCGAAGTACATTAGCCGTTTTTTGATAAATATTGCTTAAAGACAGAAAATATTAGATTTTTGTATTAAGAATTTTTAGTTTGCAACTAGATAATATAAAACTAGAGACTTTTTTTTTAATTACTGGATTTAAACCAATAATAGTGAGTTTCACTTAGAGTTATGGATTAATGACTGTTCGTAATCGGAAGTATTCAGATTAGTATTTATCTCCTTACTTGTCAATCAACATTTTATCTAAAGCATTTTGGAAGTCAGCACCAAAAACTTCACTATCCACTCCATTCTCATTAGATATATTCAATTGTATATAAATTCCGATCCCCAATTGTTCAACAAGAGAAGAATTATAAAACTGATCACCAGAGCATGGGATACAAATTAAGGGAACACCTGCATATATCGCCTAAAAATAATTAATTTCCTAAGTTAAAATATATACAGATCCAGTGCCACAAATCCCGGCCCACACAATTACAGATTTTGGAAAGAGGCTCTTTTGAAGAATTTTAGAAGCAAGGCCTTTCATTGGAAGCAATTGCCTATGATTTTATCTGTTGTGAAAGACGGGGTTGCAACTGGCCTGGGATTCCCTTATTGTGGATGAGTGCGCGACCATATTGGGTAAATTTAGTAAGCGTTTGGACGCGTATATCTTGGCGGAGGGAGGACATTTTGGACATTTGTTATAATACAGAAACTAGAAGAAAAAATACCT